GACCACGAGGCTCACGAGGAGGACAAACATCGCACCCCTCCTTTTTATGAGCCTAAGAGCTGAAGGGCCCTAGGGGGGGGTCCTCTGGAGGCCCACTCCGAGGCCCACTCCCACTTCCATGGCTTCCGGCGGGCTCCGGAAGCACATTGCCCTACGCGCCGCTCAGGGGGATCCCCGTTCGCGGGTAACAGTTGGCAGCTGGCAGTTGGCCTCGAGGTTTCTCGAGGCAGGAGGGGGGAGAGGAGAAGAGGAGGAGGCGGGGGAGGGGGCCGCCCCGTCCCGCCTGCGAGGTCAGGGAGCTGGCGCACGCGCGCCGGGCCGAGGTGGCAGAGAGGGATAGCAACATGAGTGACGAGGCAATGCACGCGGCGATGGGCTACAATCTGGAGCTAATCATCGAGAAGGCCTGGTCCTTGCTGATGGACCTGGTGTCTACGGAGTGGGTCGAGTTAGCGGCGATGCTTGGCGCGTATTGGAGAGGCCTGACGGCCGGCGCCGCCGACCCTGATCGAAAGGGCTAGGAGTGGGGGGAGGAAACGGAGGAAGAGGAGGAGGAGGAGGAGGAGGAGGAGGAGGAGGAGGAGGAGGGAATCCTGTTATCTGTGTGTATTTACTGGGACGTCTTGAAGGCTTCTTGGACGGTGTTGGGGCTATTTTAGGCGTCTTCGAGTCTTCGGCCGATATTTGGGGCGACTCGGGGCACTCTTGGGCCCTTGGGCCCCTTGGGCCGTCTCGGGGGCTTGGCGCATATTCTCGACGCTTCGCGCAACCCTGTAACCGTTGCCTGTAACCCCGCCAGCCCATCCAGCAACGACCCAGCGCGGGGGCGAGATCGGCTCGGCGGGCAGTCTTGGGCGCCACCCTGAGGGCCCCTGAGGGCCACCCTGGGGCCGCCACCCCGCCCTCCAGGTCGGCGGTCGGGGGGGTGGGAGGGGCAAGTGTCCCCGAATGAGAGAAAGGCGGAAGAGGGCGCTCCCTGGCGCTGCAAACCATTCGCGCCCAGTAGGCGGCGGATTACTTCACGCATTGCACTTCTCCGTCTCACGTTGGGCAGACGGTCGAGACCGTGAAGAACATCTTCCAGAACCAGGGCGAGTGCTTGGTCATGACCCGCCTCCCCATCATGTACATGATCAGCGCTATGGAGTCGATCAAAGACGACTTCGTCGAGGACGAGCAGGACGCGGCCAACAACCTGTTCTCCGAGAAGGCGTTGGCGGCGCTCAAGCACACGGACGCGAGCGGCGCGAGCGGCCACGTGCATAATCTATCGCGCATCTTGGTCGCCGGCCCGTCTAACGAGGAGTGGTGCTCCTTGTTGGTGCAGGTTATGCGGTCCCAGACCCCAGGCGGGATGGCCGACTTGATCGCTTCCTGCTTGGAGCGCCAGATGCGCGGCGAGCGCCTCTTCCCGGCCACCCCAGCAGGGGCCACCCCGACGAGCAGCAAGGCCGGCGTCGGCGGCGCCCCGCCGCCGTGCTCCGCGGAGTCACAGTCGCAGTCACCGCCGCCGCAGGCGGCGGCGGTGAAGGAGGAGTCGCAGGAGTCGCAGCAGCAGCAGGACTCGCCCAAGACACCCGCTGCCAAGGAGTCCAAGGATCTGGACGCCCGAGACGGGCACGGAAAGAATGGGTACACTGCCCAACAGCGGATCCTGTTCATTTTGAACATGACTCGCTGTCCGCGCCGCCGCGGCCTGCGCCCATTCGAGACAGGGGGCCGCCCGCCCAACAGCGGCCGCTGTTGGTTCGGGACAACATTTGTTGTTGGGCATCGTACCCATTCTTTCCGCCCCCATTTCGGGCGCCCACATAGGAGGAGAACCCGCTCGACGGCTGCTTTTCCATCCTCCAGGAGATGGAGGTCGCGGGCCACCCCGCGCTGGGCCCCTGGCGCACCCGCGCCCTGGTCTTAGCAATTGAGACGTTCTTGGCCACGTCTTGCATGCCAGGAGGATCGACGTGGGCTGACCAAGGGCTGACGCACTGCAAGCCCAAGCCCGACGCCAAGGGGTCGCGCCTGTGGTACGACGGCAAGAGGCTCCAGCAGCTGCGCTTGAACCTGTACGGTCGTGTTTCGGTCACTCCGACTGCGGGCTCCGTGCAGGTGGCCGAGTTCAAGGGCTTGAAGTTCTTCGTGGATGGCAAGGACAACAAGACGCCCTTGTCGCCATCTTGCGTGCCGGCGTGGATGGTGCAGGAGGAGCGGGACCCCTTGAAGTGCAATCTGATTGTCGAGTCTCGGACGGCTTCTTTCGAGCACAAGCTGGACATGGGCGACCGGGAGGTCCACAGGGTCGAGGCCCGATCCAACGGCGACGGATGATGATGATGAGGAGGAGGGGGAGGAGGAGGAGGAGGAGGAGGAGGAGAGAGGAGGAGGAGGAGGAGAAGGAGGGGAGGAGGAGGAGGAGGAGGAGGAGAGGAGGAGGAGGAGGAGGAGTAGGAGGGAGGAGGAGAGAGTGGAGGAGACCTGAGGATAAAGAGAGAGGAAGAGGAAGAGGGTTCCGACAACTCCTAACTTTTTTCTCCTCCTCTCCTCCCGCTTTCCTCAGCTTTCCTCATGTCCTCCTCCTCCTCCTCCTCCTCTCCTCCTCCTCCTCCTCCCCCTCATTGTCATTATCCTCCCTCCTCCTACCTTTGGTCGTCATCTACTGCTTCCGCCCCGACGCGACCCTGCTGAAGTCCAGTGGCCCTGTCCAGCTGCTTCGCCCTGCTGGCGGCCTCTTCCTCAGCGCCGCCAAGGCGGAGAGGAGCCCAACGACGTAAACAAAATTACCCCAGTGCGACCCTACCTAGGAGTTGGAACCCTTAGGAAAGCAGCACTAGTCGTAACAGTAACGCTAAGCTAAAGCTAAGCTAAAGCTAAGCTCCAGCTAAGCTAAAGCTAAACCACAGCTAAGCTAAAGCTAAGCTAAAGCTGAGCTGAAGCTAAGCTAACGCTAAGCTAAAGCTAAGCGAAATCTAAGTTAAAGAAACAGCTAAAGCTAAGCTAAAGCTGAACAGGAGCTAAGCTAAAGCTAAGCTGTAGCTAAGCTAAAGCTAAGCAGAGCTAAGCTAAAGCTAAGGTAAAGCTAAGCTAAAGCTAAGCTAAAGCTAAGCTAAAGCTAAGCACAAGCTACGCTAAAGCTAAGCTAAAGCTAAGCTACAGCTAAGCTCAAGCTAAGCTAAAGCTAAGCTAAAGCTAAGCTAAAGGCTAAGCGAAAGGCTAAGCTAAAAGCCTTTTAGGCTAAAAGCTAAGCGAAAAGCTAAGCTAAAGCTAAGCTACAGCTAAGCTACAGCTAAGCTAAAGCTAAGCTAAAGCTAAAGCTAGAGCTCCCAGGGGACTCCAGGGGACTGGGGGGAACCGCTCCCAGGGGACTGGGGGAACCGCCGGGGCGGTGTGCACTGTCCGGCCCCTTTAAGCTAAGAGAGTAAGAACCCTTCTAGGCAGAGCCCAGGTAGGGAATAAACATAAGCTTTCTGAGGTCCGCGCGGATTTCGTGGATTGGCGACGACTCCGGCGACGACGACGACGACGACGACGACGACGACGACGAGACGACGACGACGGCGGCGACGACGACGACGGCGACGACGACGACGGCGACGACGACGACGACGGCGACGCGCTGGGCGGCGCTGGGCCCCTCCAGCGCTAGGTATCAGCGCGGACCTCCGAAAGTTTATGTTGACGCCGTTTTTCCTTCCTCGGGCCCTCGGACTCCCTCGCCCTGCCCCCGTGCCCAGCCCTTCCCCTGCCCGCCGGCGCCAGTGGGGGCCGCGCCGCGGGGGGCCGGGCCGTGGCTCGCCCGCCGCCGCCGCGGGGGGCGCGGGGGCGGGGGGGGCCGGGCGGCGGCCGCGGCGGCGCGTGGCGCGTTCGACCCAATCAGGGGCGGGTCGGCGGCGGCGCGTTCGAGCCGCGCCCAGCCGCGGCGACGGCGAGGGCCTCCTAGATGGGGTCGGAGTCGGAGGATCGCGCCGCATCGCCGATGCATCGCCGATGCGGCTCGATGAGGAGCCCGATTTTCTTCACGCGGACGTTGCCGATGCGTTGCATCGCCAGTGCATCGCCGATGCGTCGCCGATGCGTCGCTTATGTCGCTTATGCGGCGCGATCCTCCGACCCCATCTACTCCGAGCCCATCTAGGAGGCCTCTAGAGGGCCCGATCCTCGAGGGAATCTCGGCGTCGAGTCGACCCTGTCGGTCGTTGTCGTCGTCGTCGTCGTCGTCGTCGTCGTCGTCGTTTTCTACACGAGGGAAGGGGAGGGGGGAGGTGAAAGAGCTGGTGACCGCGGCAGCCGCCGAGCCGCCGCCGGGGCCGGCGACCGCCGAGCAGAAGAAGGAGTTGGCCGAGAGGAAGCGCGCGGCGGCCGAGTCGAGGAAGAGCTCCAAACACTTGACCTCTTAGGCCTTTCTAGGCTAGGCTAGGGGCTTATGGCCCTCGGCGGCGAGGACCACTCGGCGTTGCGCATTGGTTGCGAGAGCACTGCGAATGCAGCATCTGCAGCATCTCGCTCGAGACGTCCTCCTCGCCCCGAAACCGGAGCCCGGCGCCCTCGAAGCGGGCAGTTCCCGCTAAGAATCGACGCCTGCGGCGAACCACCGCCGCCCCCTGCCGCCCTGCCTTTCTGGAAGCGCCTATGTGGCCGAAAATTGGGTCAGAGGTTGGCCGAGCTATCGGGCCATGTGTTCCCCGAGTCGGTTTGGAAAGCCCCCGGGGAACACGTCGGGGGGGAGAGGGGAAAGAGAGGGAGAAGAAAGGAAAAGGGAGAGGCCTCTTGGGGGCGTCTTGGGCAGTCTCGGAGGGTCGGGGACGTCTTGGGCCGTCTTTGACCACCCTGAGGCCATGTCGGGCCGTCTTGGGTGCATCTTGGGCCGCATTGGAAACATCTAGGGGCCATCTTGGGCCCTGGCGGGGCCATCGGGCCATCTTGGCCGTCTCGGAGGCGATCTGGGGGGCCCAAGGCTTTTCGAGAGGGGCCCGGTGCGGGCTAGTGCCATCGGCGGCGCGGCGGAGTTTTTCACTGCCGCTTCTGTCCGGCCGCGCCGCGGCGCTACGAATCGTAGGAGCACCCTGCCCTGCCTCCCTCTCCTCCGCGGTTTCGGTCCGCGGCTCCCTCCGCCCCTTCTCCGGGTCAGTTTACGTTTTACGCGCTGTGCGCGTCGCTCCTCCCTGGTGGTCTGACGTTTGATGGGCGCGACAGTTTGTCGCGACAATCCGAGAAAACGAATCGTGGGACTGCGAGCCGATATCCTCATCCCCCCCCTCCCCTCCCGCCGTCTGCAGAGGAGGAGGGCGAGGGGAGGAGGACAAGCTATGTGCGATCGCGTCATATCTGACGTCCTACCCCTCCCTCTCCCATCCCTTACCATGGCGCTGATTTTCACCATCAGCGGACGCGTGTCGTAGCGGACATGTGGCTCCGCGCGCGTGCGTAGTGGGTGGGTGGTGGTGCGCGTGCGTGTGTGCGTGTGTGCGTGGTTGTGGTTGTGGTTGTGGTGGTGGTGGTGGTGGTGAACCCAATGGTGGTGGTGGTGGTTGTGGTGGTGGTGGTGGTGGTGGTGGTGGGTGGTGGTGGTGTGTGTGTGTGTGCGTGTGTGCGCGTGTGCTGTGGTGTGACGTGGTGTGGCGTCTTGGTGGTTCGGTGGTGGGCCAGGTGCGTGCGTGCGTGATGGCGGTGGCGGTGGTGGTGGTGGCGGTGGTGGTGGTGTGTGTGTGTGTGTGTGCGTGTGCGTGTGCGTGTGCGTGTGTGTGTGTGTGTGTGTGCGTGTGCGTGTGTATGTGTGTGTGTGTTTTTGTGTGCGTGCGTGCGTGTGTGTTTGTGTGCGCGCATGCGATGTGGTGTGACGCGGGCGGGGCCCGAAAATGAAGCCGGCGCCTCAGCGAGAGCAGCATGTTGGACAAAATGTAGGCGGAACCCCAACTCTGGGGACTCTGGGGAAACCTGCATGTAAAAAAACAGTGCCCGATGGGGGGGGTCGGCTACCCCCGTTCCGTCATCAGGGGAAGAGGGAGGGTATTCATATTGAGTAGTTGTGGAGGAGGAGGAGGAGGAGGAGGAGGAGGAGGAGGAGGGAGGAGGAGGAGGAGGAGGAGGAGGAGGAGCCCCCAAACAGGTTTTTTAGGCGCCCGCCGCCGCCGCGGCCGCGCCTTTGCCGCCGCCGCTGCGCCCCGCGGCGGCGGCCACCCGCCGCCGCCGCGCCGCCCGCCGCGTTCGCCGCCCGCCCCACGCGCCGCCCACGCGCGCCGCCGCCGCCGCCGCCGCCGCGGCTGCGGCTCCGCGGCCGCTTCCGCGGCCGCTTCAGCGGCCGCGCCTTAAACGGCTCCGCCTTGGCCTTCGGCGGCGGCCGCGCCCAGACTCCGACTGCCGGGGCTGGGACCGCCCAGACCCCGACTGCCGGGGCCGCCAGGGCCGCGCGCCTGGGCGCGGCCGCCGCGCCCGCGGCGCTGGCGGCCTTCGGCCGCAGCAGGCTCGCAGCCAGCAGCCAGTTGAGCTCGCGGCCGAGCCCCCCCCACTCCTCTGGCGCCGCCTCGGCCGCCCGTGCGAGGAGGCGACGCACCGCAGCCGCCGACTCCGCCGCGCGGCGGCGGCCTTCTTCGTCGCGGGCGGCCGCCGCCGAGGCCGCCTCCCACCTGTCCGCCGCCTCGCGCCCCTGCTGCAGCTGCTGCAGGAACTCGCGGTGCGTGGCGCCCTCCGGCGGCCCAGCCATGGCGGCTGCTTGCTCGAGCCAAAATGGCTACGCACGAGAAGGGGGGACTTGGCCGCGTCGCCGCGTCGCCTCCCTCCTTTCTTTTCCTCTGCCTTCGGGGGCCCCCCTCGTCGACTCGTCGTCGTCGTCGTCGCCGTCGTCGTCGTCGCCCCCTTTGCCACGGGCCATCGACCCTCAAGGATCGAGGAGTTCGGGTTTTGGAAGTTTCGGTAAGCTTTGAAAGTGTTTTGGGCCTCCGGCGGCCTCCGGGGCCCTCCAGGGACCCAGGGACTCCAGGGCCCCCAGGGCCCCCTGGGGACCTCCGTGGATCTGGATTCGGGGCGGCAGCCCTACCAGGTGGGGCCGACGACGACGACGACGACGACGACGACGACGACGACGACGACGACGACGACGACAGCAGCAGGGCTGGTGTGGGCCCCAGGCCGTGCGTGCCGTGAGGGGTGTAGTGATGCTCTTCTTCGCTTCCGATTGCCGCTCCTCCTCCTCTCCCTCCTCTCCCTCCTCCTCCTCACCTCCTCCTCCTCCTCCTCCTCCTCACATCCTCCTCCTCCTCCTCCTCCTCCTCCTCCTCCTCTCCCTCCTCCTCGTCGTCGCTTCGTCGCTCCCTCTCCCTCTCTTCCCTCTCCCTCTCCCTGGCCTCTCCATTGCCCTTTTGCCCTTCTCTTCCCTCTCTGGTCGTCTGGAGACCGCACCTGCAGCAGCAGAGCCCTCAGCGGGGCGTGGACGGACGCCGGCGCGCGCCGATGCCGCCTCTCCCTCGCTACCCAGGGCCGCCGACCCTAAACGACGACGACGACGACGACGACGACGACGACGACGACGACGACGACGACGACGGCACTCTGCCTCCTCCGCAGGCGGAGCCGCCCAGCCGCCCACGCCCACGACGACGACGACGCCTGCCTCCGCAGGCGGAGGCCCTCCGCCTGCGGAGGCAGGCGTCGTCGTCGTCGTCGTCGTGGGCGGCTGGGCGGCTCCGCCTGCGGAGGAGGCAGAGTGCCGTCGTCGTCGTCGTCACGGTCGTCGTCGTCGTCGTTGTCGTGGTTAAGGAAGGCTTCGGTCCGCGGTCAACGCTCTGCGCGCAAAAAAAATGCGCGCCAGCTTCCCCAGCTCTCGGGGAGAAAAAAAAAAAAGATGCTTGCATAAGGACTTCTGCGAAAAAAAGTCTCACGAATACAACTTTTTTTTGTTTTCCTTTTTTTTTGGTTTTTTTTTTTTTTTTTTTTTTTTTATAAAAAAAAAAAAAAAAAAAAAACCGTTGAAATACAATATTTTTATCAAAAATTACTATAACAAAACGATGTTATGATTGCTGTTTCATCTTCTCGGGACCAGCGAAGACGACAACAAAACCGCCGCTGCTTGCATCGGGAGCTCCGCGCGAGGGCGATCGGGAGCTCCGCGCGAGGGTGATTTTTTTTGTTGAGCTTGCTTGCGCATGTGTGTCTGGGAAAAAGCTAGAACTCATCGTGTCGCTGTTTTCGAGTTTCCTGCTCGCGCAGTTGCGCAAGTCCCCAGCTGAGGCTATCGGCACGACAAGCACACGCGAGCCGAATGAGTCTGAGCATGTAGGGCGCGGGTCATGGGGGCAGGGGGGGGGGGATGTTCTAATTGTCTGACACATGCGAGTGATTGTGCTACGAGCAGTTACACTCTCCCCTCGGCAGACTCTCTCTCTCTCTCTCTCTCTCTCACAATCATCCTGTGGTGTTGGGTCCTCGTTTTGAAGAGACGGCGCCCCGCGTTCCCCACCTCCTCCCCCTCCCCCCCCTGCCTCCTCCCATCATCATCATCATCATCATCACCATCACCATCATCATCATCATCATCATCATCACCATCGCCACCGATTTCGGCACGCCCCTCACACGTTTCGTGGCCCCATAGGGAGCTCCACCGAAGGCCCCAGTGGCAGTGTCCGCATGCCTCCCCGACACCCATTTCGGCGCATCCCTCGCACGTTTCGTGGCCCTATAGGGAGCTCCACCGAAGGCACCAGTGGCAGGGTCCGCATGCCTCCCCACCATTCATTTCTGCACACCCCTCACACGTTTCGTGGCCCCATAGGGAGCTCCACCGACGGCCCAGTGGCAGGGTCCGCATGCCTCCCCACCACCAATTTCGGCACACCCTTCACACGTTTCGTGGCCCCATAGGGAGCTCCACCGAAGGCCCCAGTGGCAGGGTCCGCATGCCTCCCCACCACCAATTTCGGCACACCCCTCACACGCTTCGTGGCCCCATAGGGAGCTCCACCGAAGGCCCCAGTGGCAGGGTCCGCGCGCCTCCCCACCGCACATTTCGGCACACCCCTCACACGCTTCGTGGCCCCATAGGAGCTCCACCTAAGGCCCCAGTGGCAGGGCCCGCATGCCTCCCCACCACACATTTCGGCACACCCCTCACACGTTTCGTGGCCCCATATCAGAGGCCAGCAACATATGTACACGTACGCGGTTAGTTTCCCCTGGAGTGCGTGTCAACGCGGACGTTCGTGCAGGCAAGACCGCGGAGGGCGTGCATGTACATATGTCGTTGCTCGCCCACCATAGGGAGCTCCACCGAAGGCTCCAGTGGCAGGGCCCGCATGCCCCCCCACCACACATTTCGGTGCACCCCTCGCACGTTTCGTGGCCCCATAGGGAGCTCCACCGAAGGCGCCAGTGGCAGGGTCCGCATGCCCCCCCCCGCCACCCATTTCGGCACATCCCTCACGTGTTTCGTGGCCACATAAGGAGCTCCACCGAAGGCCCCAGTGGCAGGGTCCGCATGCCTCCCCGCCACAAATTTCGGCGCACCCCTCACACGCTTCGTGGCCCCATAGGGGGCACCACCGAAGGCCCCAGTGGCAGGGTTCGCATGTCTCCCCACCACACATTTCGGCACACCCCTCAAACGGTTCGTAGCCCCATAGGGAGCTCCACCGAAGGCCCCAGTGGCAGGGTCCGCATGCCTCCCCACCACCAATTTCGGCACACCCCTCACACGTTTCGTGGCCCCATAGGGAGCTCCACCGAAGGCCCCAGTGGCCTGGTTCGCATGCCTCCCCGACACCCATTCCGGCGCATCCCTCGCACGTTTCGTGGCCCCATGGGGATTTCCATTGAAGGCATCAGCAACTGGGTTCGCATGCGCCCCCACACCCATTTCGGCACACCTCTCACACGTTTCGTGGCACCATAGGGAGCTCCACCGAATGCCCCAGTGGCTGCGTTCGCATGCCGCCCCCACACCAATTTCTGCACACCCCTCACACTTTTCGTGGCCCCACAGGGAGCTCCGCCGAAGGCCCCAGTGGCTGCGTTCGCATGCCGCCCCCGCGCCAGCTTCGGTGCACCCCTCGCACGCTTCGT